AGATGGTCACAATGCCTTATACGCTGCTTCCTTGGGTGGAACATTGAGCTGCTTAATGTCCTTAAAGAGAATATGGATTCAATATCAATGTTAGAAACAAAGAATGGAAAAACCGTGCTACATCTATGTTGTTCGAAATGTAAATTAGAGAAAGGGTAAGTACTTGTTGAATAAGTACCCTGATTTAAAAGAAGCTAGAGACAATAGTGGTGAAACTGCCTTACGTGATGTTGTTTGGGTGGGAAACGTAAATCTGCTCAAATTTCTTGTACATAAGGGGTTTGATATCCAAAACAGAAGAAATGATGGGGAAACTATTTTACATCAATGTTTATGTTGTAGAATTGGTGAGAATGATTTGTGTAATTTTTTTATCATAACATATCACTGACAATAATGGTATGACTGTCTTACATGAAGTAGCTTGGTTTGGTAACGTTGATTTGTTTGAGTTTCTATTAAAGAAAGGTTTAGATATAAATACTTAAGAAAGAACAAGAAGCCCATGGGCCACATCGCTCACCTGAGCACTAAGAGAAGGAAAAAGTAGAAAATAGCTTCTTTTTGTAAAGTTTAAATCCAAAAGTACATGTTGTCCCATGACCAATCATGGATTGGATATTTGTTAGAAAATGATTTTTAAAGAATTTTGGTCATTTTGGCTCCGCCCTACCCCTGGGGGTCTTCACTTAAACAAATTGATCCTACACTACTTGAGCATGCTTCCATATAAATATGATAAATTATGGCTTTGTCATTCTTGAGGAGAAGATTTTTTAAAGAATTTTCCTATATATTTCTATGTAAAACTTTGGCCGGCCATTTTGGCCCCGCCCTACCCCCGGGGGTCATGATTTGAACAAACTTGAATCTATACTACCTGAGCATTATGGCTTTGTCATTCTTGAGAAAAAGATTTTTAAAGAATTTTCCTAATATATATTTCTATGTAAAAATTTCTTCGGCCATATTGGCCACGCCCTTCCCCGGGGGGTCATGATTTGAACAAACTTAAAATTTCACTACCTGAGCATGCTTCCATATATATATGATTAATTATGGCTTTGTCATTCTTGAGAAGAAGATTTTTAAAGAATGTTCCTATATATTTCTATGTAAAACTTTGGTTGGCCATTTTGGCCCCGCCCTACCCCTGGAAATCATGATTTGAACAAAGAAGAAGGTATGGTTTTCATACAAATTTTGCCCTGTGATTTTTAAAAAAATGAAACTGGTGTAAAAGTTGAAAAACTCATGTTTTTTAAATAATTGAAATTCATTGCAGAAAAATAATACAAATCATTTCTCTCAGGTGTGCTTTTAAATGCTAATTATGACGTCATAAACATTAGCATTTTCCCGTATTTTCTTAAAAAGTTGCAGAAGACACCAATTTTCAATGGAATTTTCTTTCAGATAACATTGTCCACAGGCATCGCCCACAAAGATCTTGAGATATGTGATTTGTTGTTGAATTTTGCACAAAATATCAAAAAATTAACGTGGGCGACGGCTGTGGACACTGTTTTCTAAAGGAAAATCACCCTTGAAATGTGCCATTTTGAGGCTTTTTCTGATGAAAATAGAGAAATGCTTCACATTGATGACGTCATATTTGCAGAATGGTAAACCTTCATGCTATATTCTTTCCTGATTTATCAGAGTCATTTATTCAACTAATATTTAAGCCAGTTTAAAAACTTTTTGATGCCATTACATTTTTAGGGCACAATAAAGCTAAAACCATACCTTCTTCTTTGAAACTACACTACCTGAGCATGCTTCCATATAAATATGATGAAATATGGCTTTGTCATTCTTGAGAAGAAGATTTTTAAAGAATTTTCCAATACATTTCTATGTAAAACTCTGGTCGGCCATTTTGGCCCCGCATTACCCCCGGGGTCATGATTTGAACAAACTTGAATCTACACTACATGTACCTGAGCATGCTTCCATATAAATATGATGAATTATGGCTTTGTCATTCTTGAGAAGAAGATTTTTAAAGAATGTTCCTATATATTTCTATGTAAAACTTTGGTCGGCCAATTTGGCCCCGCCCTTACCCCGGGGGTCATGATTTGAACAAATTTAAATATACACTACCTGAAGATAATTCCCTGTAAGTTTCATCTTTCCTGGCACAGTGGTTCTTTATAAGAAGATTTTTAAAATATGCCACCAAATTTTCATTAATTCCCAATTATCTCCCCTTGAATGAAGGCGTGGCCCTTCATTTGAAGATACTTGAATCCCCTTCACCCAAGGATACTTTGTGGCAAGTTTGGTTGAAATTGGCCTAGCGGTTCTTGAGACGAAGTTGAAAATGTGAAAAGTTTACAGACAGACGGACGCCGGACAAAATGTGATCAGAAAACCTCAATTGAGCTTTCAGCTCAGGTGAGCTAAAAAATGAATATACTGTGTTACACCAATGTTTTTGAATGGCAGAATTGACATGTGTCGGTATCTCATCGACACTTTTCCTCATTTACTTCGTATGACGGACAATAATTGTCACAATCTCCTTGATGTAGCGAAAGTGGAAGGAAACAATGAATTGCTTAATTTCGTAATAAAGAAAGGCTTAAATATTAATAGTTCATGTTGGTAAAATTAACACCTGGAGTACTACATCAATCACTTTCAACAGATACTAGATTGAACTGTTTCAACAGTTACTAGGTTTAACTGACGTAGTTTGCGTATAAGAATTTCTTGATGCAATTTTTCGAGGTATTAATGTCGATTTCAATCAATATAAGAGAGACATGTGCGTATGATAGCCATATGAAATGTTAAAAGGAAAACAAAAATAATATTATATTTCATTTTTTAATCTATAGAAAAGACATACATAAAAGTCATTAAATCAATTATTTAAAAGGAATGAAAATATTTTGTAGTCGTGGGTTTTGATTATATTTTATTTTTTGGCGTTTCCATATGAGTGAAAAATTCTCGAGAGGGACATTAAACAATGTACAATCAATCAATCAATCGTTTACGTTTCTATAATCATCTACACAGTGCTTAATTAAACAGTGTTATTCACGTTTATATAACTCAGGTGTATTATATCCACACTGAGTACTAGCAAAGCTGCAATTCGCCAAGAATTTTGCTACTTTCTTTGATATTAGAATGATAATTCCCATTAAATTTTGTTATGCCCACAATATTTAAAGTTCTATACGCGTGATTTTGTGAATCTTCGTGTGCAATTTTCTATGGAATTATTTTAAAGAGGTAATGTTTTATACTCTTTTATCTATTGATTGGCTGATTACAGCATTCGTATTACATCGGAAGAATTTATATACCAAGAAAATTAGAAAAAATATAAAAACACGATATTGGAATAGGATTATTTTGTTTCTTATTGTTTACATATGTATGTCAATTATTTGTTTTAATAAAATGTTGACGTCGTGAATTGTAAAGGAACATGTTTGGAATATATCAATATCTTTTCAAGATAAGATTCAATGAAGAAAATAAGAAAATTGTTGAAATAAGTATTGCATCGGTAGTTGTTAAATTGCCTTATTAAATATTTGTATATTTCTTTGTGTGTTAACCCATGTTAACGGACTAGTGGCCTTTGAGAAGTGAGGGGTCTTTTTCTTGCCATCATCTTCTACAACCAAGGACCTCTCTTTATACCGTCTCATTCATGGAAGCGGTCTTAAAGTCCTGTAATTTGATTAAACCTGCGACGTAATGATCCTTTCACGGGCAATGTTTTTCTCAGGGTTTTCTCAATTTATCCTACCATTCACGGCATCTTCAGTTAGTAGGGCGCTCGCTCAGTGATCAGGAGAATATGAATCTTCGCCATGCGCTCGTCATTTTTAAATGAAAATTTTGGTTCTTTGGATAAGACCTTAGAAACCAAGGTCCTGTGTCTAGTCAGGCGTTGGCATGATAAAGATCCCTGAAATCTTAAGCTTTGTTCAAAGAATTTAAATTTTTTTTACTATTTTTCTCAAGTAGAATAATATTCGGCTTAAATATAATTGGTTCATCATATATTGCTCTTTCTGTAGAAGACTAGCAAACTAACAAATAAAGTTAGAAAATTTCTATGCTCGAAGAAAGTTTCAAAGTATTTACCATATTGTCATTTATTTGTTTAATCTATTAATCATTCGATTTAAATTAATATCTTTATCCATATCTGTTACTCACTGTTCATAGTGCAACTTATAATGGCAAAAAGGAGTCTTGTATTTTTTAACATTCCTATAATATATTAGATCATATTGTATTTATTTCTATTTGTATTCTTTCATAAAATAAATTTGTATAAAAGGTGAAATATATTTCTCAAAACTTTTGTATGTCCTGAATGTAGATTGGTCCACTACGGAGCTACACCTTTGACAATTGAAAACTTCTCTCGAGAGCAGAAGCGCTTAAAATGATTATACACTTAGAGAGTTGTGCTCCACGTGCAACAGTTTTGTTTTTTAAGCGAGATTAGCTGGATCTTACGTTGGCAGGTGGGTTGGTGCGGCTAGAGTGTCGACAGTCTCTTTTGGTAACATAATTTTGCGGGTTTCTGCGGTCGAGTTAGTGTCCTTGACAGCAAATACAATATCCATTCGGTCGAATACGTTACGAAATTTTTCATCCAAATTGTTTGGACTTGTTTAAACCCTCAATTTTCTTCGGATAAGTCCATTGCCATGACAATGAACACACGCTTTGTCGGTATGTGTGACCGGTCGACAAGGGATGCTTCACAATCTGTAGCATCTAATCCCAACTCTGATCTTTAATATATCCTTGTTTGTCCTGCTCCTGATCTGTGTTGTTTCAGGGATTTTTGAGCTACCTACTTTATCTTCAAATACCATGTTACATGACTTTGTATCAAATACTCGACATAACCGAGTCAGTGATTTGTTTTCTGGAGGAAAATTTTTTGAATGACATTAACTCATGACAGGCCTTTAGCAAGATCTATGAAAAACTGAATCTAAACACAGATAAGTAAGTGTGTTGATTGTGATTTAATATAAGACTGACAAGATCTGCTTATTCTACATATATACAGATTATCCCACTATACCAGAAGCGGAGGCAAACGCTGATAGTCTACAAAAATAATACTGACATAATCAATATCACAGTTAAGTATACATATGAAACTGACATTATTCATATCACAGTTAACTTTATAAATAATACTGACATTGTAAATATCACAGTTAACATTATAAATGATACTGATATTATTAATATCATAGTTTACTTTTTAAAAAATACATTATTAATATTACAGTTAACTATAAAAAATATACTGTTTTTTTATATCACATTTAGCTACAAAATTTTTACATTTCAAAGAAGTAAAAAATCATTGATGTGAAAACTGATGCACTGCAAAATGCAGAGATCAATGTGGAAAACGAAAGGATAATTGCAAAGGGTCAAAGGTGTTAATGACTCACGGTTTTTCACAGATGTATCCGGGCAGATTGTGGGCGTGGTGCCCGTGGTGAGTATGGGGGGCACATACGTCATCAGACCAGCCGATGATGGTGTGGTTGAAGAACTTGTAGGACATACAGTTAGCTGTGTTGTTACCGTCCGGCTGTCCTGGGCCCCACCCATTGTAGGATCCCACTGTTCCTCCCGCTATCCACTGCCAGGTTCCCTCCACGGCAAAGTCACTCCCACCAATCCACCAGTGGGTCAGCTTCTCACCTACAAAATCAAAACGGCGCGTTATTTTGTTTTAATTGGGGGATTGTGGGTCTTTTTTTCCTTTTTTTAATATCTGACATCAGATATTCACATTTATGAACTCCGATTGCGTAGACTCATTATTTCTGTTTTGAAGAAATCAAAAGTTTGATGATTTTTAAAAATCTTTTTAGTTGTATAATAAAAATATGTTTTTATTTAACCATAATATAATAGATAATATTTACTTGCAAAAACGTTGAGGAACTGTTTAATAAAATTATCTTTCGCTTCTGTATCAACAGTCACTAAATGAGCGCCCATATTGCGACACGCATTCTACGGGTAAAGACAATGAAAAAATAAAAGAGAACAGATTAAACTTTATTCAAGGAAATAAATAGTACAATAGGTTATATATAGTCGTTTAACAGGCACGTAGCATCGTTTTTGAAAGGGGGGGGGACCAACCTGAGAAAATTTTTTTTTACTTACCTGAAAAGTTGAAAGCAAAAAAAAGAGGGTATAATAAAAGTTGTCCAAACTCGAAAATCCTATTTCGTTGGGGGGTGAGGGGGGGGGGTGGGGGGGGGGGGTAGTGGCCAACTTCTTCAAAGCCAACTTACTATCACTTCCGATTTTTTTCCTTATAATCCTTACTATCACTATACACTATGGTTATAAAGTGGGGGGGGGGGGGGGGCAACCATCCTATCAATGAACATTTACTATAGCAAAGGTTATGTTGGGGAAAAAAGTGGGGGGCCAGGCCCCCCCTGCCCCCCCCCCCCCCCTCCCCCTGATGCTACGTCCCTGTTTAAGACGAAGTCTTTGAAAGGGAGACATGATCTTTTTAGTTATAATTAATAAGAGATTTAACAAAGACGTTATCATCATTATATATTTACTTACGGCTGCATCTGTCCACGTGTGCTGTGTTTTTGTGAACTGGATACAGTTGGAATCATATGCTACCCAATCCAAGGGGCATTTAGATTCAACTATTACTAAAACCACTGTAGAGAGAAGAAAAATTACAATAATGGAAAGGGTCTCTTAAAATGTTTTTATTGTATGCCACAATATGTCAAAAATCTATTCATGAAAAATATGGAGATAACGAGGCTCAAGTCTTAAAGACTATACAAAATAGGAGCAGAGCAAACTTTATTAACTTGTTTGTGAATAATTTGCCTCGTTTTAAACACTGTTCATGCTAAGAATATATTCTTATGTATCGAATCAACTGAAAAATATAAACCATTTCATTTTTCTTGGTTTTTTTTTCTGTCAATATAATATATTCTGAATGAATGCATTCAGCAATTTCGATGTTTAGATGCTTTGTATTTTCAATATATTTAACCAGTACGTTAAGGTAGTAGAACTTTGATTTCTTTACCAACATGCTCAGAATAACGATTCTGAAAATTGCACCTATGAATATTTTTTTACGAGTCAAACACATTTGAAATGATTTAAACACTGCTCTCATGGAATCTAAGAAAAAATATGTTATTAACTAATTAGTGAAGGAAATAGAGTTTACCTATGGAGACAATCAGAGATGCTGAGATGGACGCCATGTTGTGTAGAATGCCCTGGAAATCGTGACGGGACTGCTCGTTACTTATCTAGAAAATGTGACAAGTTCACATACAACTAGATCTAAGTAATCTATTTAGCCATTTAACTGGTGTCTGTAAGTTCAGGTATACTTTAAAGATACGAGGAACTAATTTTGAAGACAATCTCAGAAATTTGCTTGACAGAAATTTAGTATAATGATACGTGTATCATTCATAAAAAATTTCAGAAAAATTTTGTTTAAAAAAAGATTACACATTTCACAAAACTTTACCAAAAGACGACATAAATACTGTTCAAGAAATTAGAAATAGTTTTGTAAAATATTCTTGTTCATGAAAATGAATCAATCGAGGGCAATACTCGATTGCTAACACCTTTGCTAACTAGAAATTGATTGATTGTATATTGTTTAACGTTCCACTGAAGGATTTTTCACTAATGAGGAGACTTCACCGTTTGCCGGTGTAGGGCTTCAAATTTAGACCTATACTCTTTCCTCAGACTCATTTAGCAGAGAGGGTACTCTATCGTGCCAACATCTACCGTGACGCTGGTTTTTAAGGTCATATCCGTGACTTTCACTTCTAGTACCGACTGCTTGGCGAGAGAGCAGTCACTACCTATATTTGCGTCTTAGGTTTGACGCGGTGCCGTGAACGAGAATCGAACCCGGGCCTCCCGAACAAGAAGCAAACGCTCTGCCACAAGGCTACCGTGACTGTAAAACCAGTCTATAAAACACAGCAGAGACATGAAGACTGATTTTGAAATTGAATTAATTGCATTTTTACCATTACAAGAGGTTTTAATCTTGTACAAAACACCATATAACGTACCTACTCGTCTGATACAAATTGTACAAGTGCATTAACATTCCATAGCGATTTAAATCTACTGCAGTATCTTTTCCTATACTTTATTTAAACAATAAACTGCTTTTTTGGTTGTTATAACTGGAATTAACAGAAGCAGCTGTTGCAGAAAAATACATAACCCGCGTAAACGGGTTATGTAGATTTTTTCTGCAATAGCTGCGACCGTTAATTCCAGTAATAACAAACAAAGAAAGACATTTTATTGTTTATATTTATATCTGTTTATATAATCATTAAAAGTTAAAACTAGATGCTGTCATGAGACAGTAATACCCGCACTAAGGTGTTTGCCTCTAAATGCGCACTTCTTCATATTGGGCTTTACCACGGAAAAAGTCAATATAATTCAATAATTTACATAATACATGTATTCTTCAAATTGAGCATAATATGCTCAGGTGACCATGTAGCTGCAGATCTGCAGCGTTATGGTTTTATATATTTGTCTTTGACCATAACGCTACAGATCCCCATATGCAAAAAAGGTGCAATTTACGGCGCAATATTTTTTTGCGCACTTTTGGGCAGAATTTCTCCATTTTCTAGCATTGGTCAATCAACTACCTTTCATTCCCTAATTTTAGACACATTCTGTAGTCAAAATGTATATTTTGTCCACCTCTCAGCCATTTATAGTCATCTCTACAGGCAATAAACCCGCTTGATTTGAATTTTATGCAATCTAACAAATAATTTTAATCAAGCGAGTTTATCTCGTGTAGAGACAAATATAAAACGTTTGGAGATGGATAAAATATACAGATTAGTTAAATAATGTGCCTAGAATTAGGGGGTGAAAGGTAGTAAATTGACCGATGCTGGAAAGTGGAGAAATTCTCCCCAGAAGTGCGCAAAAAAATATTGCACCGTAAATTGCACCTTTTTTGCATTACAGGATCTGTAGCTTTATGGTCAAAGACTAATATATAAAACCATAACGCTATACAGATCTGCAGCTAGTGACCATGTTACCCATGGGCCTCCATCTTATAGGTATTTCATATTCTTTATTCATTACCAGTCGGAAATTAGACAACAGAATTAAATTAATGGTGTAAATTAGGTTTGATAAGGGGGGGGGGGCACATAATTGGAACTTTTAAATATATTTTCTCATGTAGATTAACAACAAATAATATTATTCAAATTAGTGTAAAGCGTTTTTGATGAATTTTTCAAAATGTGCAAAGTTTATTTATACTTGATTAGGCAGAAACTTCTTGAAAGCTGCCATATACACAATCAATTTAGTCAACCCCGACCCCTCTCCCATCAACACACACACACAAACACACCTTATTTGCCTGTTTTTGGAAATAGGCCTAGATGGCAAAGTTAAAATAAAACATGTTTTGTAAATGATAATTTTCAATTTGTTCTTGCACTATACATGTATCTGAACACCTGCATCACACTGGGCTTGCGTCACGTACAAAACTTAAGTACTAGTTTTACCACTGGCATTATCATTTTAGATTTCACTGCACGTGTAGTAGGCTACTAGTGTGCATCATTGCATATATGTCAGTAGGAATTATTTTATTTTGTGTTTTAACTGGATTATATTTCATGAAGATAACAGTGCCTAAATAATGACAATTAGTAAGTACAAGTTGTGGTATAGATTTGGGTAAAATAGTCTGAAATGCAAACGGTTAGGTTCAGCATCGGATGACCTTTGATCCTTTAAACTTACAATAGACGAATTTCACAGTCTGAAGAGTTATCCCCCGTTATCAACGTTACATTCAGTTACAAGATCAGAATTTTTTTCCTGGGAGGGAGGTGGGGGAGGGGGGGGTTTCCAGACCAGAATTAGCCTGGTTCCCTGTCCCTGTTTTGCTTTATATACTCCGCGTCACTAGGGCCAGGTGGAGTACAATGGAATCCACCTGGCTCTCCTGCCTTGGCAAGGATGAGACAGGGGACCAGGCTAGACCAGAATTTCCCGAGAAGCAAAAAAAAAAAGAAGTTATGGTTGGGTCTGTTTTCTAGGGTGGGGGGACACTTAGGGCATCCAAAGGCATTTTTATTTCCTCCAGTATATATTATAGTCCTGCAAATTCCAAGGGGGGGGGGTGGGGGTGTTGATGGGGGGGATCTCCCAATCCACTTCCCTGTCCCTGTAATGACAAATGATCATGTGACTCCTAAATAGTAGGAAACTTTTTCCATTTCACTATATATAATTTTGTTTCTTGTGTTATTATGTTATGTAAATTTAATGGTACAAAGGTTATGAACCCCTAGAGGTCATCCCCACTTTCCTAATGAGCTGAAATGTTCACAATATGACTGCATTAAATTGAATAAAAGTGCATCAATGATAAGATTACTTGACATTTTATTCATGAATTTGTGTCAACCTATCTTCCTAGAATTAGGAATGAAAATCATTCAGAGACGGACCACATTAAACTATTTGTATAAACATTTTTTTTAAATGTAAAAACAAGTAGTAGTTTGCATACATGAACATTGAACAGGGGTCTGGGAAGGGGTGAGGGGAAGGATCGAGTTAATATTTCTTTATATACGTCTTAATGGTTGAAAACTCCTAAAATGAATGTTGACCTCAAATCTAACTTGTCCTCATTATTTTTCAAGTGGTGGTGTCTCCATATGAGTGAAAAATACCTGAGAGGGATGTTTAACAACAAACAAAATGACATAAAAACACAATATTGATTTGCGTTAGGAAATATGCAGGGGATTTTTTCCATCATAAATCTTCTTCTCAAGAACAGCAAGGGCATTATTGTCCCCCATTTTGGGGAAAGGGAGGGGACATTAAATCTCATTTGTCTGTCAGTCTGTCCATCTTATTTACAGCTAGTATGTGCATCTGTCACAATAAATTTAACCTTGGTCATAACTTTTGAATAATAAGAGATTGTGCTTTCATATTTCACATGTGCATTACCACAAAACTTTCTAAATACACTATGATTTTTTAACCGAAGTGAGACCTTGACCTTAAAGTTTTACCTACTTTCCAAAAAATAACATTTTAAATTGATCATTTTGAAAGAGAAAAGAAAGGGCATTCAAATTATACATGTTTATTACATGTGAAAAGACTTTTCAAAATATATCATGACTTTTGACTCTGTGACCTTGACCTAGAAGTTTAACCTACTTTTCAAAAATATTTTATTGTATATATAACTTTTGATTCAAAAGAGATAGGACTTTCATATTTGACATGTACATTACCTGCAACAAAATGTTTCAGAGCATGCTATGATTTTTCCCCTTTGACCCAATTTTCAAAAATTGATATATGATAGGGGTGCATATTTGACACACAATCTGCCATAAATTATGGCATCCCATTCACTAAAACACAGAAAGCAGAGGACTACAATTCTTTGAATTTGCTTGTATAATCTTGATAGATGGAAACATCCTCATATAATGTAGATTCAAGTTTTTTATGCCACACCATGATTAGGAATACATACATGTATAGTTTTTGTCATGTCCGTCCTCCACCCTTCCATCTGTCTTTCCATCAGGCTCAAAGAAACTTTCTAGATATTTTTATCAAAGTTCATATGTTGATGCATACTGATGTAAATATCCACCGGCAGCAATATTTTTTGACTTTGACTTTTCCTTTGACCTTCACATAACTTTTCTTTAAATTAGTGTTTAGCTTTATTTTAAAGAAACCGTTCAAGTTGTGTAATGAAACTGCACATGATGATACATACTGATGTAAGCTTTACAATGCTTCACTCTTTTTTACCTTGACCATTCCTGTGACCTTGACCTCACTTTTCTAAAATTAATGTCTAGAGCAGTTTTGAATAAACAATTCAAGATATATTTATCAAACTTCATATGCTGATACATACTGCTGAGAGCTATTAATACATCAACTCATTTTGACCTTGTATTTTCCTTTGACCTTGACCTCACTTTTTAAATTATGTGTTTATCTAAGTTTTAAATAAACCATTAATTATAGTTTTATCAAACTTCATATGCTAATAGTAAATTCATACTGATGTAAGCTTTTCAACTGCAACAACATTTTGGCCCAAACCTTTCCTTTGACCTCTCTTTTTTTTAGAAAAGGTGTTAAGCTCAGCTTCATTAAATCATTCAAGATATTTTTATCAAACATAATATGCTGATATGTATTAGTGAAGCTACTCACCTGCATCAAAAACTTCACCTTGCACATTCCTGTGACCTTGACCTCCATCCTTTTTAATTTGTATTTCGCTTAGTTTTAAAGAAATGATTTAAGACATTTTTAAAACGTCATATTTCGACCCCCATTTGACTCCCCAGGGCAAAATCAAATTCCAAAACCCTGCTGTACATCAA